CTCTCCTTTTTTTCTTTTTCTTTTTATTCTGGGATTTATTTACCTTCTATGGCTGTCACTGGAGCTGAGAGCCGGTTTTAGCTCTGAGACTCAGCTCCAGCTATGAGACCTCCGCTGCTGAAAGCAGGGATCTGGGTTTGTTTGGGTTTTATAATTGTAACATTGTTGCGATCCTGCTGGCTGAAGCCCGGCTGGCTGAAAGCAGGTTTCTGGGGAATGTTTACCTTCTATATTTGCAACAATGTTTCTTAGAGTGCAAGCTCAGAGGCCGTCAGCAGCAGGCGGGGAACCTTGGCTTCCTCCGTCACTGGAGCAAGCAAGCATCCTGTTTGCTTCAGTGCCTTGGCTGCCGGCGCCATCTTGGTTGGAAGTTAATTTGCATATCTCCCTGATTAGCCAATGGGAAGCGTTCGGGGCCACAGTCCATTTGCATCTTTCTCTTTTATTAGATAGGATATCTATAATATCTTCTCTTATATGTACATATCTATAATAAATCTTAATTTATAAATTAGTCACAGTAAGATATTAATAACCCTATATAATAAAAGCCTAATATACAAATAGACCAAACTTTGGAACGACCGGTAGCTATGATGCACACTAACCATCAGGGGGCAGATGCTCAATGCAGGAGTGCCCCAAGCCTGCAGGCCCCAGGCCAGCCAAGGCGGGTGCCAGTGTGGGCCCTCCTGATTGCCCCACCAGTCACCCCACAAAGGGAGGCGTCCGGCGGTGGGGTGGGGGGGCAGAGCCGGCGAGCAGGTGGCGTCAGGATGGCCAAGGTGGGTGCCAGAGGAGGCCCCCTGATCACCCTGCTGGTTGCCCCACAGATTGGCACTAATCGCTGGCCAGGCCTAGGGACCCTACCCATGCATAAATTTCATGTACCAGACCTCTAGTAATGAATAATAAAATAAAATAAATGACAATATATTAAAATAAAAGTTATATGAATATGGCCCCTCTCTCTCAAAATATCTTGTACTAGCCAGACAGTGTGGGTCAGTGGTTGAGCATTCACCTATGAATCAGGAGGTCATTGTTCAATTCCTGGTCAGGGCACATGCCTGGGTTGCAGGGCTCAATCCCCAGTGAGGGGCGTGCAAGAGGCAGCCCATCGATGATTCTCTCTCATCACTAATGTTTCTATGTCTCTCTCCCTCTTCCTTCTTCTTTGAAATCAATAAAAATATATTTTAAAAATTATCTTGTACTATACTCACTCTTCTTGTGATGATGTGAGATGATACAATGCCTATGTAATGAGATAAAGTGAGGTGAATGACATACTTAGGCATTGTTTCTTACTGTTAGGATACTATATGGATTACTTGAACACGAGTACTGAGATACTGGGACAGTCAATGGAAACTAACTGACTAATGGGCAAATAGCATCTATAGCTTGGTTACACAGGACAAGGGGATGATTTATGTCCTGGGCCAGAAGGAGGAAAACAATGTGAGATCATACTACTCAGACTGATGCACAATTTTAAACTTACAAGTTATTTATTTCTGGTACTTTCCATTTAATATTTTTGAACGGAGTTTGACGATATGACTAACTGAAACCATGGAAAGTAAAATTGCAGATAGGGGACAGTACTGTAACCATATATAAACCAATACTTTTCAATATTTCTAACTCAGAAGACTTAACAATGTAAAGAACTAAAGTAGAATATCTTACTCTAACATCGTTTTAATCACAGCTGAAAGATCTCTTTATTATCAGGATTTATTTATTTTATTAGGTGATTGCTACAATTTGTTGTTTTGTCTAAAATTAACTTTGTATTTATATACTTAAAGCATTAAGTGTTTCTAATTTAGAGCAGATTAATCTATTTCTGGCTTTGTTGGTTTTATGGTGAGATAATCTATTTACTTAAATCTTTCTTCTTTTGTTAATAGCTTAATTAATTGGTCAGATAAATGTTTACACAAAGCATACTAAAACCATAAATTACTTTTCTAAACGGTTGCAGGCAAGAATTGGACCCATGTAAAGCTGAGCTGACTATTCTAGGGAGGACTGTAAAAGCAAGGGAACCTGTCAATCACGTGTCTGGAAAAACCCCTGCAGGAATCATGGTCTGTCTTTATTGGTGGATTTCCAGATCTTCATGGAGCAAACCAGGTATTTCTATTGATTTTTGTATTGTGTCATTTTATGAAGAGAGAGGAAAACTTCATAAAGTTTTCTGGTTTATTGGGCCATCTACATGGTTTCAAAAAGAAATTTTGAGACATTCAACAAACATTACTTGATCCTACCAACGTATACTAAAAGTTTACTGTTCTCGTTTTTAGAATTGCTCCAGTATTAGGCTGTTTTTCCATCTTATGTAGTACATGTGTGTTACATTTCATGATAATATTAAGCATATGGGCTTTTGTTTACTCCCATGCTAGTGACCAATGGATATATGAAAGGGTTGGCTTACTAACATACCAAAAATATGACTTAAGAAATGGAACTAGAAGACCATTCCCAGTCTCTGCTTCATATAAGGTTACTGAAATGTAAGAATTTTGTCTACAGAGTTTTGTGCATATGCCAGCCCACTTTCTAAATTTCCATTTAGATAATTAGTCTGTTTTCTTCATTATTAACCTATATTTTAGGATAAGAGCATGCATGCTGACTTAAATGTTATTATTTTGCTTCATCTTATGTTATTACAGAGAGCTACTTTAAAAATTTAAGGTTGCTTGTTAAGTATATACTAATAGCTTAATATATTCTATATTTTCCATTTTGCTTTGCATACCAATAACTATGTATCCCCCCCCAAAAGGGATTTTTCATATAGAATTTAACTTTTGTGAGCAAAAATTAATTGCAAGGTCTCAACACTCCAGGAGATACACAATATCTCTAATACAGTTATCTACTTATCCTGATAGAAATATGAACAATATACAGAGACAATGTAGAAAAATAGAAAAGGAAGGCTTCTGAACTCCTTGGAGCAGTAAGGGAGTTTGTAGTTAGAGATGATCAAGTGTCTACCAGGTAAATAATGTAGACTGTTATTCCAGGCGATAAAACAACCACACACAGAGGTATAGGTAATGGAAAGACTTAGGAGAGGGGAGTGGGAGTAGAAATAATTTATTATTGTGGAGCCATGAAGTTTAATGTGAATTGAGCAGGAGAAAGACTTGATGTTGGGAAAGTGAGCAAGAGCCTGAGAATAATGGATCCCATATAAAATACAAAATAGTATATATGTGCATGCTGGTGCTTGGAGGTGCCACTTAAGAAGTTTTTAAAAGTAGTATATATTTATGTAGTTTTCATGGTAACAGCAGCTGAAGTGTATAGGATTGGAGGGGTTTAGACTACCCATCAAGAATTGGTAATGTGCCCTACCTGTTTTGGCTCAGTGGATAGAGCATCAGCCTGCGGACTGAAGGGTCCCAGATTCGATTCTGGTCAAGGACACATGTCTGGGTTGCAGGCTCGATCCCCAGTAGGGGGCGAGCAGGAGGCAGCCACTCAATGATTCTTTCTCAACATTGACATTTCTATCTTTCTCTCTTCCTCTCCCTTCCTCCTTGAAATCAATAAAAATATATTTTTTAAAAAAGAAAGGAATTGGTAACATTAGGTAATAGGAATACTTAAATAAAAATCATGTGGCCTTAAGGGTGAGAAGATGACTATGAAAGCTATTAAACTTGTGAATAATTGTAGGTTAAAAAAAATAGAAAAATGTGGAATTCTAATGACCAATTTGGCTTATATAAATAGAAATGTTATGCTATCTAATTAAGATGTGGATCACAAGATTATTTACAGGGAAAGATAGCAGGTTCATTTTTGCATTTTGGGGCAGGGATAATTTTCAGATATTTAACTGGCCTGCCATTACCACTAATCCACCAGTCCATTTTATCAGTCCATTCCTGTTGCATACCATTCCTATCAATGGGACATTGTGATAGAGAGTAAGTTATTTGAATTCACAAGAAATCTTGACCAAGATTTGGCTGTGAGAGTGATTATACATGTGATAGTGGAAACCACAATCATTGACTGGATTGATTTTGTAGAAAGAGAGAAGTGAGAGCTAAAGATTGGGGATCAGAAATCAAGAAATGATTTAAAGAAGAAGTGTCCACAAAAGTGATTAAGAAGTAGAAAGATTGGCAGTAGGACAAGGAAAAAAGTATTGTTACAAAAACCAGAGATGGAAAAGTTTCCCAAGGGATCATATGTTCAAAGCCAAAGCTAAAGTAGGTCAACTAGCAGTTTCAGGAGACCAATAATAACAGAAAACAAATTGTAGTATTTTGAGGAAGAATAAATGGAGCAACAGGGTGATTTTAGGTTATTTTAGCAGAAGCTTGTTAAAAAGAGAGATATTATCTAGCAGAGGACAGAATCTCAGAATTGCAGGGATATGTAATGCTAATGGATTATATTCTAAACACTTTTTCTCCCAAAGCCTGTTCGAAAGGATTGGCCTTTACTAAGGGATTATCTCACTAAAAACTTGATATCTGTCCTGTGATGTAGAGGAACTCGACATGTAATTAGAGTAGAGTAAATTCAGTGTGTGAAAGAGTGAAGTTACCTTGAAATTAAAAGGACAACCAATTAAGCAGGTCTTCCCTCCTTGTTAAGTATGCTGTATTTAAAAGATTTTGTATCAGTCCCTTATTGGTTTTTTATTCTTTCCTTACATTGCTACTGTGACATAGTAGGTGTGTGTGTGTGTGTGTGTGTGTGTGTGTGTGTGTGTGTGTGTCATATACTTACATTGCTATGCACTAATGATAGATACAAGCAAATTATAACATACTAGGGGCCCGGTGCACAAAAATTTGTGCACT